CAACTCATTCACTAATAGTTAGATCATGCACAACAAATTCTTGGTGAAAATCCAAAACATCCATATGAAAAACACATTAAGTGATTTATACAGTATCCAGAAGAGCTCCAAGCCGATCGCCAAAGGTTATTTCAATTACGGTGGCGTCGGGATCCGAGTCTTGGTCGATTATAACTTTGGGGGTTGAAACTGTATCAGTGTCATCATTCTTCAAACACACAACAACCATGGATCTTTAGGCAGCTAAAACATTGTTAAAATTCAACCAAATATATAATTTGTTCTTCCATACCTCCACAGCAGTGGCTGATGGTGTTGCTCTTGGAATGATTCTCACCATTGAAGATGACAATCTAACACTGTAATGATTTAAAAGTGAAGATCTATCAAATTTAAGATGCAACGAAACCATTAAATTGCAGCTTTTTTTCTCCATAAAACTGATTGATTCCAGTTGGATTTACTAATGCATTGATTTTTTTTCACTTCAAGCAACATGAAATTCATATTAAAGGATTCCCAAAACAACAATTTCAAAACCCAGACAAGGAAATCTGCAGATACAAAAACAAAGAGAAAAAAACAAGACCAAAATTCAGAAATGAATTAGATTGAAGAAAGGTACCTTCTTTTATCAAGAATGTTGACTGAGGCAACAAGCCAAGAATGGTTTTTGAGTTCGAAGATAGGAAGTTTATGCTTGTTTTTAGTGTTGGTTGTAAAGTACGCACCATAATCAGCAGCAGAAGCCATAGCCAAAACAGCCATTGAAACAGAAGAGATGAGAAAGAACAAACAAACAAAACTGAAGAGAAAGAAATGTTAAAGGAGAAGAAGGTTCAAGGCTCTCGTTTTATCCGCCATGAGAAGGTAAATGAGATTGTGATAGAGAAAGAGAACTCCCCATTGTTATAGATTTTGCTCCTTTTTATCTCTTTTATCTTTTTCTTCCTTCTGCTTTATTGAATTGGTTACAGATCCTACTCATCCCTGTCTGCATATTAACTCCAACGTTGAAAGTTAAAATGAAGGGTAAATCCATCACAAGATCACTATACTATTACTAAATTTATAATTCAGTCACTTTATTGTAAAACATTACAATCAAGTCACATAATTAATCAATTGTAACAATCAAATCATTATGTCATTAAATCTCAAACAGGCATTTACTTTTTATTTATATTATGGTCGCTCAATTATGAGTATGCTTGTATTTTGATCATTCATCTTTCGAATGTGAGTTGATTTTTTTTTAATTTCTTACATGTTGGTACAAAAACGATTCCGTATTCTCTCAATATTCTTCTTCAACGAAAGTTCTTTGATGTTTCTATACATCTGCTCATTAGTCCTAAAGTTGTAAAAAAAACTTTCAATTTCTTTATTACATCATTACGTACACATCAAGATAGAAGAAACGGTCTGATGTATTCTATATTAATGTTAGTGACCTTCAACGAACAATGGTGTTTTTATACTTTAGTGTACAATTTTAGTGGCATGCCATCTCTTCTAACATTGTTACAATATATATACATATATGGGAAAAATAAATAAGTTCAAATACCAATGTGGAGCGAAAAATATTAGGTACTAATATGAGAAAATGAGACAAGTTTAGGTACCAACATGGATAAAAAATGTTCAAGTAGTAACATAAAAAAGTTTGACAAACTCAAGGACTAAAGTGTTATTCATCATATGTTAATAATTACTACAATTTGTGAGTAGAAGCAGAGGTGTCCTATGTGACAATTGTGATCATTTATAGCTAACTTCCAGCAAGCGAGAAAGGACCACCGGGTAGGTGATGAGGGTATGCACCCATGAAAATGACCATAAAAGAACCATCTCGATATGTCAAATTATCCACACGTTTCAATTTTAAAGATTCATCGTATCTTATTATGTTAATGTTTGATATTATTTATTTTTTATAATTCAATTTTAATAATGAACTCGTACCTCAAAAGCGCACATTTTATTGAGAGTGATAATGTAAGAAAGTATCAAAATAAAAGTTATATATATATTTGTTCTCTGCAATCGTTCAACAAGCACCAGTGGTCTAGTGGTAGAATAGTACCCTGCCACGGTACAGACCCGGGTTCGATTCCCGGCTGGTGCACTTCCTGAAGTAGTGATGAACTGCCGCGCTTCCAATGAAGATAGGGTTCTTCACGGTGTCTGATTCAAGACGACACACCAGCGCTTCTGAACTTCTATTTTTTGCCTTAGTCATTAACTTAGTAAACAACAACTATAATCAGTGAGATATTTAGCAGCATACACCAAGCAGCAAACCCACCATGAAATCACAGTGAACAATGACCAATAATCATGTCAACAGGTGGAACAGTATCATGTACATGCCTCCACAAGCATCTGCTCATTTTTGTTTATATTCTCAACTACAATCGAGCAAACTTTTGGATGGCTTCCCACTTCCACTTCCCAGCTTGAACCTTGGTCATAACTGGATGATCCGAGACTGCCAGCTCCCTCGTGATGCATCTACAAATTCGGCAAGAAGGTGTAACAACACTTGAATACCGCTAGTGTACAGTAATTATGTTGCCATTTCATGACAAACAACAAGAATCTGCAATATATGCCTACAAAGCCCAAAAGGTACAAGCTCCCAAAAATTCTACAACAAGTTAAATGAGATCATTTCATTTATTAACCCAATACTCAATCAGATCAGTGAAATCTTCTTGGTTTCTAGTTTACAGAGCCAAAACAATCATTAACCAGCAGAAAGTTTGAGCAAGTGTTTATACTTTATAGAGTCCAAGTCACTTAAATCATTTTGATTCCCCAACTTCAAGTGCTTTTGAAATTTTACATTTGAAGATTCAGCAGTATCCCACACTTCATTTTGATAAGAATTCAAACCACTCAACCTAACAGTACCATTAATTGCAGATTGAAGGAAGTTCGAGTATAATGTATGATCAGCTTCATACTGTTCAGCTTGAAAGTGCAACACTAAATAAATTTGTATTACCGGTAACAGATTTAGATGCTCCAAGTCGGGAACATTTGATCTTGGTGTCAGCAATTTAGCAGTCTCATCACTCCCTGCTGAGGATAGCTCATGCTTATTTATATTATATATGATTTTTTTTTAGAATAATATGGTATTTTTAAAAGATGGGATATATCACTTGATGCATTGTAGTTTAAAATATGATATCCAAGACTACAATATGATATCAGAAAATTAACTGTTATAAAAAATATCATTTTATTTATTTTTCTTATATGCATAAACTATTTTATTTATTTAACTTGGTTTCTAGTTTTTTGAGTCAATTACAAAATATAAAATTTAAATTGCAGTTTGCTTGGTGATTTAAGTTCCTAATGGCGTCTCGTTGATGCGAAACTAGAGTCTAGATGTGTTGTGATTTGATCTCACTTTATGATCAAGAGCATATTTTGTAGAAATTGATGGAGTAGCAATATACTCGGTATTAAATCTTCAGTTGACACCGGTCTCGGATTCGATCTTTCGACGATCCCTACTTCCTTTCCCTTGTCCATTAAAAGGAAATTGATTTACTTAGGTTTACGGTTTATTTCCAGGTCAGAGTTCACTAATTCTTGCAATCAGAGTTTCAGTGTTTGAGTGAATTTTTATGAGCTGTTTACATAGCAGTAAAAGTTTTTCAATCCTTAATTTTAACCCTTTGAAAGATCTCTCACATTTAGAAGTGAAAGTATGAGGCTTTGTTTATATACGAAGTTCTATGTTCCGTCGTGGTCGAGCGGTAATGTCCAAGAGCAACCCTACTGAATTATCATATGTTTATCTTGTAAGGTCTAGTGCATTGTTGATGCATATTGTCATACATTCAAGCATCTTACATTCCAGTTGCAGATGATTTGATGCTCATGATAGACCTCAAACAATCTTATCGTTTCTTGGTTTCCAATTCTCGTCTGTAGTTTTTGTTATCTAATGTGACTTGTTATCTGTTATCTTTTAATGTGCATACAAAAACAATGTGATGTTTTACTAGTTAAGGGAAAGAGTGGAATATAGGATTAGGAATCTTAGGTGTGCCATAAACGTGTCGCGGTTGTTCGGTGAGATATGTTTTTCGTTCCAATCTTAGTTGCACGTTTCGCTGGTGGTTCTTAGGAGATAACTCAAGTCCCCCGGGGAAGAAACTGAATGCCGAGAGCTTTTCGTTGTTGATATGATTGCATAGCTCCTTGGTGAAGATTGGAAATTGACGTTTGTTTCGGAGGATTACCTGTTCAAGATTGTATTGGTTGTTGATTCAGCTGTTGGGAAATCGAATTTACTTGCAAGATTTGCTAGGAATGAATTCTGTCCTAATTCGAAGTCAACCATAGGAGTAGAGTTTCAGAACCGGAAGATGGATATAAATGGCAAGGAAGTTAAGGCACAGGTCTAGGATACGGCCGGTCAAGAGCGCTTCAGGGCCGTTACATCTTCATATTACCGAGGTGCAGTTGGAGATCTTGTGTACGACATTAGCAGATGGCTAAATGAACTTCAAAGTAAGAACCATGCTGAACTCATGCTTTTGTTGACTATATTATTGGATATGTTGTTCTTGGCCGATGATGGCTAAGGATTGATTTGTGTGCTTTGTCATTTCGAACAGCTCACTCCGACATGAATGTAGTCATCATTTTAGTAGGCAACAAGTCGAACCTCAAGGATGCCCAGAAAGTACCCACATCCGAAGGAAAGGCCTTGGCAGAGGCGCAGGGTTTATTTTTCATGGAGACATCTGCACTCGATTCCTCCAATGTAGCGGCTGCATTTCAGACCGTCGTTAAAGAGATCTACAACATATTGAGCCGGAAAGTCATGATGTCTAACGAGAGCAAGAAGCGAGACGCGCCGTTGGATGGGACGACTCTCAGTCATCATCGAGTTTCCACTTAGGTTACCGATTTTTCTTCTTCTCCATACATTCGTTTATCAGTGCCATTAAAATGTTTGTTTTAGTAAACTAGCCTCCTCTGTAGTTGGACGCCTCAAGAAATATCATAAACTGTTAGCAAGAACCTGCCGAGTTTCATGCGATTAAAACACTCATTCGAATGGTGCCCCGGAAAGTGATTAGGACGTATGCCCTACCGTACCTATATGATTAATACTACACCTGCAATTTAATGTGCAATGTGTTAGTTGCAGTTTACCTGCTGCAGGGGCCTGCTGATAGCTTTACCCTTGTAGCTAACGTGAAACTTTGCCTTTGCCAACAACCCCTATGTTTCGAAGGTAGAATTTCGAGAGGGAAAGATAATATCTTTAGGCTTATGCAAGATGACGACCTATGGAAGAGAAAAAGAGTAATTGACCATCTCACCTCAGTGTCGAACTCCCCGGACTCAACCGTGATGTTGATGTCGGAGATGATTTTTACAAGATCCAGCAGCAACCCTGGGCGATCGGCGGTCTCCACGTATAGCAAGTGAACCAAATTTATTTACAAAATTAAATTATATGGAAATGAACCAATACTGCAAGCCAGAACATATCATCCCTTTTGGCTGAATTAGACATGTAAGGTGCTGCCGAGGAGTGTAGTCTTAAATGTTAATCAAACTATCGAAATTACAAGGGCAGATGTTGCATTTGACCACAGCATTCGTTACCTACGATTGGGACCATCATCGTCGACTCTTAATGTGCGTTGCAATGTCGACATCAACCTGAGGAATCCCAGCAAAGCAAAACTTAAACCAAGGGCCAAGATTATTGGGTAATATCATTCTCAACTTATTAATTTATGGATGATTCGTAACGTTTACGATCAGCTGCACCGGTCTTGGTCGCAAGCACGACAACTATCCATTTGAATTACAACAAACGTCCACGTAACGGTCTTCTTGGGGCTGCTGTAAAGCTCGTTTCATCTAACATTCAACATATGAAAATGCCTGAACTTTGCAAGAGGGATATATATATATATATATATATATATATATATATATATTGATATGGGAAAAATAAATAAGTTCAAATATCAACGTGGAGCGAAAAATATTAGGTACTAATATGAGAAAATGAGACAAGTTTAGGTACCAACATGGATAAAAATGTTCAAGTAGTAACATAAAAAAGTTTGACAAATTCAAGGGCTAAAATGTGATTCATCATATGTTAATAATTACTCCAATTTGTGAGTAGAAGCAGAGGTGTCCTATGTGACAAGTGTGATCATTTATGGCTAACTCTCATCAAGCCAGAAAGGACCACTGGGTAAGTGATGGGGGCATGCACCCACGAAAGTGACCAAAAAAGAACCATCTCGATATGTCAAATTAACCACACGTTTCAATTTTAAGCATTAATCGTATCTTATTATGTTAATGTTTGATATTATTTATTTTTTATAATTCAATTTTAATAATGAACTCGTACCCCAAAAGCACACATTTTATTGAGAGTGATAATGTAAGAAAGTATCAAGTAAAAGTTATATATATTTGTTCTCTGCAATCGTTCAACAAGCACCAGTGGTCTAGTGGTAGAATAGTACCCTGCCACGGTACAGACCCGGGTTCGATTCCCGGCTGGTGCACTTCCTGAAGTAGTGATGAACTGCCGCGCTTCCAATGAAGATAGGGTTCTTCACGATGTCTGATTCAAGACGACACTCCAGCGCTTCTGAACTTCTATTTTTTGCCTTCTTTTTTGTTCTTTCTCCCATCGTTTCAGGCTTGGCTCCTGTTCATGTTAAGATTAATGGTGAGAGTTGAACATACATTTATTACTTATGGAGTAATTGAATCCAGGTAATGTCTTTGTTTGTCCTCCAACAATCAACGTGACCATTTCCACTTGTCCACACCACGAAGACGATCAAAACATTTTGCAGTAAAAATATTAGAACCTAAAACTCCATTTGCAGGCTTCTGTGAGCCAGAAGGGTGAGTCAAGCTAAATGGCAGAAAGAAAAATATTTCAACAGAGAATAAGAATATGAAGTTCAGAAGCGCTGTTGCATCGTCTTGAATCAGACGATCGTGAAGAACCCTATCTTCACTGGAAGCGCGGCAGTCATCACTACTTCAGTTAATGCAACAGCCGGGAATCGAACCCGGGTCTGTACAATGGTAAGGTACTATTCTACCACTAGACCACTGGTGCTTGTTGAACAGATTTTTAGAACTCTGATTTCATTTCATTTAGATAGCATTGATGGTTTGATATTTATGTTGAAGATATAAATTACAATATCTTATATACGTGAGAAATACTAATTAAAATTCAAGTTTAAAGAGATTCCAAATCTGATCTAATTTTTAATATAAAATCTACATCAAATTGTTTCTTATCTAATTTTAATCAATAAAATAAATATTTAATTAAAAAAATATAGAGATATTATTGCAACTATCCTTAAAGATACAAAAGATATTTATATTTATTATTTAATATCAAATTTTTATGTATATATTGGTTTCATTGATGTATATATTTTTATGTTAGTATTAATGTTTATTTTTCACACACTAATATTTATTTGTATCTATTATTTTTGTTGAATTTTTAACCATTGATCTTATTTTATTTCTCAGTAGCTAATAATTGTATTTTGACAAAATGATCGGTTAACGTGATTAATCTATTCAACTTTTATAATTTTATTGTATTTCATATGTAATTAATAAAAGGGTAAAGTATAGTAATGGTCACTGAACTTTTCTAAATCTTTCATTTAGGTCCCCCAACTTTTAAAACTTGTAATACAATCCCCCAATATTTAGTCAGTTTGTAATATGGTCCCTCAACATTTAGTCTGTTTGCAATATGATCCCCGACGTAACTATTGGGGGATCATATTGCAAACGGACTAAATGTTGGGGGACTGTGTTGCAAGTTTTAAAAGTTAGGGGACCTAAATGAAAGTTTTAGAAAAGTTCAGTGACCATTACTATACTTTACCCTTTATTTAACACTGAAACCACGCGTTGTCACTGACCATGAATGAGGTTGACATTTATCCTATGCTCTCTCTTGTCTTTTAGCTACCTACCTATTGGAAATCAATTAATGCTTTTTAAAATCACTTTTAAATAAAACAAAAATCTATTTTGACCGTAAAATTAATATTAAACAGATAAAAAATGAAATAAAATGACAATGGAAATAATGATTTCAAACCAACATTAAAAATTATGATTTCTAACTTTGTCATTTTTAACTTTGTGTTTGTAAGTAAATTATAATTTTACTTTTATTAATTCATGGATTCCGTTCAAATATATATTTATATTTTATTTTAATAATTTAATACTAACATCCTTAAAAATAATGTACTACTTCTAATAATTTATTTTAATTATTTAAAAATAAATAAAATTTATGGTTTATATATTAAAATATTAATAGTGAGTTATATAAAATATTTTTTATAATTTTATTTTTATTTGTATTTTTTTATCTTTTTAATATAGTTTAAATTGATATCATTAGTATATAATAATATTTTTTCTAACTCACTTTTTAACAGAAATCTCAAACAATTAAATTTTAAATTGTACTTTTATACAATACTTTTGAGAGTTTATTTCTACAACATTTTTAAAAATCAAATATACCAAATTAGCCCTAATTATGACTGAATACCTCTAAATCTTATTTATGTTTTCACTTAGGTTTGAAAATTATTTAGAGTTGAAAGTGGATTCGGGTTTTAACTTGAATTTGTAATTAGTTTAGGCATATTTTGGGTTGTTCAGGTTAGAAGAGTACTAGACCTTAGTTTTGATATTAACTTTGATGAATGAGTCCTGGACCTAGAAAAAAATGTGGCATTTAATTGATTTTTTTAATTAATATACGGTGTTTACAAGTGTTAGTATATATTCTAAAGATCCTCAACCATTTAACAATAAACGTCTAAATATCCTACAGTTTCTAGTGTTTGAACCTAAAAAATAACAATCAATCTTTTAACCACCGAGATAGCTTGATTCGTGCTGAATTGAGCATTAGTATGTAACACATATGCATACAACAATTGGGAAAATATTATGAGGTTAATGTTTGGGTTATCTCTATCCTAGTGCCCAAGGAAGGATATATTAAGGATGTTTTTGTTTATAATTGATTATTTATGTATACAAATTATATAAAATTCAGTAATTTTAATAAAAAAACAATTATGAAAGAAACCTATTAACATTAAAATTTTGTACATTAATGTTATCATTTTTCTTTTTTATATATGTTTTGTTATATAATAGTTTATTAGGTAAAGATGATGACAATTGAACACATAGAATACCTTAAAGGCTTATATTAGAGGTCAATAAGAAGATCGACATTAATAGGAAAACAAGTAAATGAAGTTTTATTAGTTAAAAGGACCAAGCAAAGACATAAGGGGGCGTTTGGATAGGGGAATGTGGGATTTCTTCGGGAATGGAATCCACATTCCCCGTTTGGTTTGGCCGGGAATGTCATTCCCGGTAATGTTTTATTACTAATAGTGGATTTTTTGGGTATATTACCGGGAATGTCATTACCTCCCTTCCCTTAGGTATTGTAACATTACCGGCATTTTAGACTAAAATGCCCTTAAATTTTTATTTTTATTTTCAAATTATTTTTATTTTCAAAAATATCATTCTTCTGTCATTGAATAATAAAAATTATACGAATGTTAAATTACAAATTTATCCTTAAATTATTTTAGATTTACAAAAAAAGTCTATAATTAAAATTTTATATGAAGTTCAGGGGTTAAAATAAAATTTTACTCTTTCATTAAACTTTTTTTATATTTTTAATTTTGTAAAAAAATTATATAAATATTATGAATTTAATTTTTTAAAGAAAATATATAAATATTTTACAACTTGTAATATTATACAAATATATAATAAGGACAATTTGATCAAATATACATTCTAATAATCTTTTATTCCTTTAACCAAACACGGTGATCTTACATTCCTGCTAAACCAACCAAACACAAAATATAACATTCTCAGTAATCCTATTATCTGATAATCTTTTATTCACACTAGTAATCTTACATTCCGTGAATCAAATACACCTTAAAAGCGACAGACCCCACACCAACCACAAATGACAAAACTCAAGCAACTTAAATCAATTTTATTAATCTCCTCCCCTGCTTTCAGACATCAAAAGTCAACATTGTAAAAACCCAAACTTAAAGTAAGGAATAACAGACTTAACAGGCCAAGGTAGACAGGCAGGCAGGCAGACAGTAGAATAGATTATACTTGTCTCAACGTCACATGATTGCACAACTTGACGTTCTCTGCTCACAGATGCCACACCTTCCACAGCCACATGATCCACCACAAGTTCCGCTGCACCAAAAGTTACCGCACCGCTTACACGATGACGATATATTGCGACCGTTGCATCCGCCGCAAGCACTGCTGCCGCACCCTTTACAACAACTCCAGCTATTGTAGTATCCGTATCCACCGCCACCCCTACAGCCCCCACCACACGACATGCTGCCGCACCCTTTGCAGGATGACCAAGACCAGTTGCCGCCCCCACTGCATCCTCCACAAGAAGAGCTGCCGCACCCTTTGCACGATGACCAAGACCAGTTGCCGCCGCCGCCGCTGCATCCTCCACAAGAAGAGCTGCCGCACCCTTTGCACGATGACCAAGACCAGTTGCCGCCGCCGCCGCTGCATCCTCCACAAGAAGAGCTGCCGCACCCTTTGCACGATGACCAAGACCTGTTGCACCCGCCACAAGAAGAGCTTCCGCACCCTTTGCACGTAGCCACGCCGGTGCAAGCGTTACAATTCCAGCTGATCCATCCATGACCGGAGCAGCCTTTGCAGCCACTGCCTCCACACCAGTTGCAACACATTTTCTTCCCACAGTTCTCATTGCACGTCGTCAGTGGGAAGGAAATGCACTTGCTCTGGATGCATGGACCTTCGGGATGCCACTTGTGGCATTCCTTGCAGAGTATCCACACTATCTTACTTGTTTCGGGCTTTTTGGTTTCGGGTTGCTTATCCTTTGGTTTGGTTTCAGGCTTTTTAATCTCAATGCTTTTGATGGCACTGCCAGCTTTGTACCTTATCTTGGTTTTGATACACTCGGGATCCCAGGATACCACCGTGATGGTCACTGTATTTGCCTTGTCATCATATTTCTGGTCCCTTATTTCTGTTCAATTACACCATTACACCACACTTGATCAGTTTTGCAAACTTATCCTTTATTTTTCTTTAAAACACTTAATTCTTAACCATTTATTTTAGAGTAAAATAACTTTTAGATGAATAGCAACAGTTAGTAAATTAATAGTCGATACTTATCATTTACGTAGCAAGTCTTATAAATCTAAAGTGATAAGACAACACATGTCATATGTATATAAGTGATGATATGAGACATATGATCATGTGTACATAAGTAATGATATGACATATGTCACATTATTACTTTAGACATATAATACCCGTCACATCTAGGGATACACATGTCACCTTATATATTTGGGGATAATTACAATAATACCCCGTTATATATTATTTTTTCAATTAAATCACTGTTTTTATTGAATAAAAATAATATTTTTTATTATTTCGGGTCGGGTTGTCGACCCGACCCGTGCACATCCCTAGTTGCATCAATAACAAATGTTAACCATCAGTCAACTAACTATTTATATCCAATCAGATTTATTTGATCCAAGTGAAACTTTGAGCGTCAAAATACTTCTAAAAAATAATAAAAACTACTTTTATTGAATACCAAAAATATTTTTTTTACATTATATCTTATATTTTATCTCGATTTATTTTTATATAGATCTGAATAGGTTCATGTTATTAATTTGATCGTGTATTGTAATAATTAAAAGTATTTTTTCCTCATGCATATAATATATACACGAACAAATCAAAATAATAGTAAAAGAGAAGAGACCCATCGGACTTGCCCGGGAATTTGCAGAGCACTTTCTTGACCTTCTTATAGCAGCGGTCGCAGTGGAGGTCAACTTTCAACACCATTGTTGTTGTCTACAACAATGCTATCATCAATAATTGCGATAATAAGAAGAAAAAGAAAAGGTGGTGTTATTGTACCATGTATCATCATCCGATACGAAATTAAACTCGTTTTCCGTAATAATTTATCTGATTATAAGGTAGTATATGTGAGTATATTTCTTAATTATTAACAACGAATCTACTTAATTTACGGGACACGCTAATATTTAGTATTGCAAATGAAATAAAAGGAGAATTAATGCTATATATATATATATAATATGAATATGAATCTTTTTTACACTGTTATTTTGAAAATGAAACATGACCCTAAGTTAGTATGTATAGATACAAAATTATGCGTATAATTTGGGGTTCATGAAGTTAATACGTATAGAGTACCTCTGCCATGGCGTCTTCAACAGGCTCCAAGTGAAACAGACAAATTAAGAGAGAGATTGGGAGTGTGGGCGTCCTTCAGTGTGGCCCTAATTAAGCTGCTACGTTTAGTGTCTTAAATAGAGAAAAAGACTTCGACGTGCTGTATGCATAGTCGACGACCAATCACATCCATCCGACCCTACATATGTCTTGTTTTAATTATCAAGATTGTCATTTTATGTAATGAAATGTTCAACCTTCGGTGTTGAATTTTCTCATGTCCAATTATTGGGTTCACATGTATATGTAAAACAGAATTGGTTGGATTGATTGACACACCGTACCTGTCGTCCAGTTGACGAACATAATCTTAACTTGATTTTTATTGGACATGGCAGCATCCATGTTTTGGTATGGGAATGGTATCTCAAGGTGGTCCATCTAAGTAATTTGTCGTGTGTTCCTCGAGTGGGTGTGGTTGACACATCCATGCATTATTCTAATCTCTGGTCTTTATAGTTTTGGATAATACAATATAACTAATTGGTATAATACTATTATCATTATTAATGTAAACTAAAATGGTGTGCTAATTAGAATATTAGTTAGCAGTTGTCCATCATGTACTAATAAATAGGGATCGACATATGATATTAAGTCAGGAACGAACTTCTTAAATTTTATGAAGAGATAAACTTAAATTTTATGAATGAAAATAAATTATTAATTAAAAATATAAAAAAATCTAAAATATATATTAATTTAAAATTTTTAAGAAAACGATGGTGTCTGTGCTCTTATATCCATCGTGCTAATAAACCTAGCTAGTTGCAAGTAATGGTGTATGGGGAGTTGTTCAAGAGAAGGCCATGTGTCGTGGCTAGGAGTGTTCAAATTCGGGTACCCAGGTCTTCAGGTAGTTGATTTGTCGGCTCGTGTCCCGACTCGGATGTTGTGGAAATCCGAATTTTGCGGGTACCTGTAATTCGGGTACTCGATACCCGAGTTTTTTTTTCATTTTCAAATTATTAATTTAAAAAAATACACAAATTTAAATGTTTGAAACTTTGAATTACATACTCCAACATCCGAACATAAAATTTAAAAGTTCGAAATACAAAATCTAATAATCCATAATATAAATAAAACAAAAAAATCATAGCTAACTAGGGTAAATATGAATTATGATAGACATCCAATTACTAAACTATCAAAACTTAATTCAATTATGATATTAAATTATAATCACAACCCATTTAAATAATTTAATTACCTAGACTTTAATTACCTAGACTATCAAAACTTAATCCAATTATAATTCAATTACAAATTAATCCAATTAAATTAATATCATATTTGATAGTCATAATCCAATTACTAAACTATCAAAATTTAATCCAATTACAAATAATATCAATATTTATACAAATTATCATGTTAATGGTTTAGTAATTGGATTATATATATATATATATAAACTAACCCGAGTATCCGGAAAACCTCAATTTTGTGATCGGGGTCCGACTCGGGAAATGTCTGGTCGGGTACCATAAAAATTACTCGATTTTTAAGGTTCGGGTCGACGGATCAGGTCAAGCGGGTCGAATATTTTTGCACACCCCCTAGTCGTGGCTTTGTTGCTTAGCTCAAAGGAGCTTTAAGATCTTATCTCGGGATGGGCTTTGACCCATTAGAGGTTTTCAATACCCTTTAAAGAGTCCAAGTTTCTAAATGGGTTATTAGTTTGATCTCGTGTGCGTGTTTATATATATATATATATATAAGATATACATTTTTTTATGTATTCGTAATGGCAATCACTTGCAATTGTGAAGGTTGGTCTTTTGATTGTTATACAGTAAGGAGAAGGCACTAACAGTTCTATGTTGCTACCATTCGCTCACTTTTCGATAACTATTTCGGTAGATTCATAGATGGAGGGCATGGAAGGAGGAAGCTCATATGGACCAACATGGATTTTTAACTGGTAACTTCAAACAATTTGATGCCTCAATTCATGCGATTGTTTGTGATCAAAGTCATGCAAAAGACATTTCGAAAACTTTCAAGCCATTACTATGATGATTATAGCTTATTTGCTGCAGTCTTTGCTGCAGCACAAGCTAGAGAAGCGCTAATGCGGAGACAAACGGCTTTAATTGTACACCACAAAGCGAACCCCTTAGCGACGAATAGAGTTGTGATCTGGTTGGTAGGTACAGAACATTTCTTCTTGCTGCGTTTTCTGCAAGAGTTGACTCATAGATATGTTGGTTTTATATTTATCATTGATAATATATTGTGTTCAGGGAAAATTGCAGGCTGGTTTGAGCATATGTATCATGTAAACCATCTTCAAGATACATGGAACTCGGAAAGTAGCTCTCCGTTTCCGCTCATTACAAAAGCGTCAATGCCGACTCGATGCAAGGCTGTGGCATTTGCAGGTAGAGTGTGGGTCACGAGGAATCCTATAAACAAGGATCAAGTAATTTGGTTCAGTATGGCGATGCCAACATCCTGGAGCAGCAACACAAAGGCATTTTGGTTATACATACGAATTCGATAATTAGGCTCTAAATGACAATAAATCACCTTGACGGCAGCTTCGACGATTACTCTGGTGCCGTCACCATGCAATGGAAGCTCGAAGAAGAGAAGCAAAGAGAGCGAAGTCCATAGGTCGAGTCACGTCAAGTTGTCAACGGTTACTCCTCCGTTACGGGTAGTTCACTGCATTGGGTGCGTTAAAATCTAGAGTTCCTTGTTCTTCATTTTCATTCACATTTGGAGTTGAATTAATTTATGCAGACATGGTTGTTTCTCGATCTGGTTGCCGAACTTGGACGATTATGAATGACGGTGATGTCGTATATCGGTTCAGCCCGATCCGAGTCATGAGCACCTCGTACCTGCGGAGGTTGATGGATCCTCAAACAAGCAAGCCAAGGTAATGAATTGCAGGGCACGGCGTTAAGAGCACTGTCATAATAAAATGACTAATAATAAAATGACAATAACATATTTTTTACCCTCAACTTTATCAGTTTAATCATTTTAACCCTTTAACTTACATTGCATTCTTTTTGACGCGTGGATTCCGATTAAAACGAAATTTTGGAGTATAAATTCGAACCAAAATAAAAATAAGGACCTAATTAAAAAAATATAGAGAGAGGGTACCATAGTAATTATCTATAAATTTATATATAAAAATTGTACTATTATCCTCGAGTCGGGTCAATTTGAAGATTTTTCACCCTCTACCTAAATCTGACCCCTCCCTATATAAAACCCAATTCAAAATCTGATCCGACTCAAATATTTTTAATAAAAAAAACACCGTTTGATCAAGTTGGATCGAATCAAAATCTATTAATTTCGAGTTAAATTATCATTCTAGGTGTACTTGAAATGTTCAGTTGAAGGATTTAA